CTAACCATAGCAAGTCAGTTGAAAAACCATTGGGTAGAAATCAATAAATAAGCTGAAAAGCCACCATGTAAAATAATTTGTGAGTTCATGTTAGAAAACACGAGTCAAACCCAAACTCTGAAAATGAGTAAAGAAATAGAAACCCAAGTAATGATCTTGCCTTCCCTGTGCAAACTGCATATGCCGGCAATAAATACTTGCAAGTGCACTCAGAAGGCCATAACTACTTTAAGTCTGCACTAGGCGGTTATCTGTGGTAGTTACATCTATTCAGTACAAAGTCTTGGGGAACCTGAACAATGTTCAGTGACACCATTGGAGCCTATAGGTAAATCTTGTTCTTAAAACATCACAAAAAGAGGGTTGGAGAGGCAGCTTACTGGTTAAGGTTAAGATCATATAGCTCTTGCAAAGGACAAGAGTTCAAGTTCCCAGCACACATATCAGGTGGTTCACAACTGCCTGTAACTCTAGCTCTAAGGGAATCTAATACCTCCAGCTTCCACATGTCCACAGACCCACACCCACACTCACATAATTAAAAATAAAATCTAAAAAGGAAAAAACTGTTATTTTATAACCAGAAAAGAATTACTGAGGACACTTGTTGAACTAGTTTCCAGAGCTGCACTCAAGACCTTTTGGTGTCAGGTCCAAGGATGAGACCTGAAAACCTTATGCTTATGAGCACTCTCCAAAACTCCGCATGCTATAGCCCAAATTGGCACTAGCAATTGAGACCAGGGCCCTGCAGTTCTCACCTAGCACTTAGACCCTGGGGCTAGAGTACCAGCAACTCAGAATGTTTAAGAATAATGGCAGAGGGGCAAGTGGCCGTACCAAGTACCAGTGCCCAGAAAGGACTAGGATCCCAGGAAAGGGAAAGGACCAGATCTGTGAAGATGGCATACCTGTGAGGGATTTTTCTAGACTGGATCCTGTAGGTGGAAGACCCACCCTAAATCTAGGCCACACCTGTGGCAGCCCATATAAAAGAACAGAGAAAAAAGGAAGCTTGCTTTTTGCCTGCTTGCCCTCATTCTCACGGCAACGTCATGCATCCCGCAGTAAAGCATTCCTCCCTCACTGGTATTAGAGCCTACTTCTGGATTGGAATGTAGACTGAAAATCAGCGGAGACATCCCACATTGTGACTGAACAACTAATGGATTCTTGGCTTTTCTGTTAGGAGACAGTCATTGTTGAACTAGCCCGACCATAGTCTGTAATCACTCTAATAAATCCCCTTTAATATGCTGCAAGCCGTAGGAAAACTGAATAGAAATTCAGCTATCACAAAAGCTACTACTTGGAAAAGTCAAGGACTTCTCCAAAGGTCAAGCCATGGCTTAAGAAGTCTTGGTGATATTTTAGCTTTTGTATATATATTAGCTGGTTCCTAAAATGATTTTCTTGTGTGCTTCCAAGAACTCCTAACAGTGTATTTATCTAAAATGCTTATCAAGCATCCAAGGCCAAACAAAAATAACACCTGTCTCCTAGGTCAGGTGGATAGCTTTATTTCTTGTGCAATTTAAGGTGAGACCCTCCTTTTTTATACAACCTTACTAATAGACCCCTAACTTCTTACCTAACCACTTCTAGGAATGTAGACTGAGCACCATAGACCTCCTTTTCTAACCGGTCATTAGCACTCAGTTGACCTCATCTTTTACCACTCCCATTTTCAGGTCGTAAAAGAAAGCCTGGTGGAAAATTCTTACCTACCTATCCCAGCACTCGGGAGGCAGAGGCAGGCAGATCTCTGTGAGTTTGAGGCCAGCCTGGGCTACAGAGTGAGTTCCAGGACAGGCTCCAAAGCTACACAGAGAAACCCTGTCTCGGAAAAAAAAAAAAAAAAAATTCTTACCTACCTTTATGACCCTGTAGAATTCAAGCCTGGTGACCTTGCTCAACCAGGGGCTTGCTATTGCTTGGGTTTATAATTGGATTCCTGGGAGGCTTAGAGGGAATGTAGAGAACTTAGAGACGGAGAACAGAGAGGGATAAGAAGGATTTTGACCAGAGAGAATGTGTGGACAAGATGGAAGATGAGGAAGAGTCAGATGGGGAAGTACCAGCTGGGTAAGAACAAGATGAGCCGGGCGGTGGTGGCGCACGCTTTTAATCCCAGCACTCGGGAGGCAGAGCCAGGCGGATCTCTGTGAGTTCGAGGCCAGCCTGGACTACCAAGTGAGTTCCAGGAAAGGCTCAAAGCTACACAGAGAAACCCTGTCTCGAAAAACCAAAAAAAAAAAAAAAAAAAAAAAAAACAAGAACAAGATGAAAAGGACCTAGATGAGGCAGAATTAAGACAAGAGAATTAAGATAGAACTTAGAGGGAGCAGTAGATAAATATAGAGAGAAATCAGGCAAGAAAGGAGCTAGGCACAAGAACAGAACTGAAGCTGTGCAAATAGGATGTTATGCCAGAGGAATTAAAGCAAGTGGACTATAGAGCTCGGTGTGCTGAGATTCTATTTCCCAAAAATAGTCCTTGCCGTTCGTAGTTTCTCTCCTGAGCCCCTGGGAAGTATTACTATACATAAGTTCATTCTATCAGTTCTGCTTCTCTGGAGAACGCTGACTAATACAACACACATTAAAATTGAGTCCATCTAGTTTGGTTTTGCCTTTGTTTATTGAGACAGGATCTCACAGTGTAGGCCAGGCAGGCCTCAAACTTGTGTCAGCCCTCCTGTCTCAGCCCCTAGACTACAGGTATGATGTGAGCCATCATGTCTGACCTTTCTTCCCCTATCCCCATTCAGCCTGAGACTAAGATTTAGCCATGTTGATTAAAAATACAAAACACACCAGTATGGAGGATGTCACAGTGACAAGCTAATAGGTCTTTGTTCCCCAGCTTCCCTTCCCACAGCCTGTGGTCCTCATATGGAGGCATCACTACATTGGGTGTGCAGGGAATACTGGGACACCTGCTCCCAGGAGAGAACAGCCTGGCTCCCATTCTCGGAGCTGCCACACTGATTTTGGTCACAACAATCAAAAGTAGAGAAAGGGCTGGAATAATGGCTCAGCAGTTAAGAGCACTGGCTGTTCTTGCAGAGGTCTTGAGTTCAATTCCCAGCACCCACATGTTAGTTCACAACTGTTAATAACTGTAGTCCTATGACATCTGATGACCTTTTCTGGTGTGCAGACATACAAGCAGACAAAATACCCATATACATAAATAAATCTTTAAAAGGGGGAAGGGTGTTGTGCAGAAACCACCTGTCCTTCCTGGAGTTATACAGTCTTCCCCAAGCTCGGGGAAGGTGCACTTCCCAGCCCCTGCCCTCTTCCACAACTGTGGGTGGATAGTTAGGCATTTTCTAGTGCCTTCTCCCTCCACACTTCTTCCACATCACCAGACCTTCTTCCTGGCTAACCCACACTCTGGATGCCAAGGTATGTTACTAGAGGGTGCCAGCTCTGCCCCTAGATAGCCAGCAACTTGTGTGTTTGCTTACTTGTGGCCTTATCTAAGATCAACACCAGCACCTCCTGCCTCCAGAAGCTTCCAGGGGCCCAGTGGACAAGCCTCATATCTCAGCTAATGCCTGATCACCATGCATTCAGGTATTTCCTCACCACCTCTATCTTCAGCCCCTCTGGGCTCCAAGGCCAAATGGTTTCTAAGTTCAGGTGGGTGACAGGGCTATGAAGGTGCCTGGTAATATAGTTATGTTGGGCTCGGACTAAACATTTCAGCTACCCCTGCCAGATGGTCTTTTTCTCAGAGGAAGGGCAACCCAGCCCATGCCTCACCTGTCCCTAGAGTTCTGACAAGGGCCCAATCTCTTCCAAAACTACCTAGTAGGTCAGGATGTCAGGGGCCCTGAATCATTTGTTCTGCTATCACTGCCCCACAACTGGACATCCAGAGTGGCCCTGTTGATGCAATGTCACTATCACTGTGGCAGCAGGGACAGGTCAGAAAGCAGTGCTTCAGGAGTCAGAAGCCTGCACTGCCCCAGGTAGACATCTCTAAGCCCCAGCCCTCAGGCCATCCTGTTTTTCTTTCTTTCTTCCCCCCGCCCCCTCAAGACTAAGTTTCTCTGTGTAGCCCTGGCTGTCACACTCACTCTATAAATCAAGCTGGCCTCAAATTCAGAAATCTGCCTGCCAAATGCTGGAATGAAAGGCATGCACCAACCACCACCCAGCCCTATTTTTTCTTAAGAGCATTATAGAAGAGTCTCCAACTACACGAAGCCCTCTAGAAGTGGCAAGTCCTAGGGCCAATGGAATTTGGCATACTCGTGTCACAACCATGGGCAGGGTTCAACACAGCTGGTCCCACTCCTACCCTGTCCCTCAGTCCTCAAAGAACTAGCAGGCAAGGGGAGTGGATCTTTGTGGCAAGGTTTCCAAGAACTGCCCCCTGTCAAAGTTACGCTGCAGGGCTCCCAACACCAAGTCCATCTCATCTGCTCTTCCACAATGGGCACCCCTTGTCCTAGGGCCGTGATACCTGCCAGAGGACAGAGAGGCAAGCTGTCAGGTTAGCAAACACCAGCCTGGGCTGGTGTATGGCTCAGTGGAAAATGCCTACCAAGTACAAGGCCCTGGGAATTATGCCCAACAGTCCAAAACAAAAACAAAAATAATCAGTAAGACCAAACAATCACCTTTTACCACACAGAAGGCCAATAAACCATGAGCGTTCCCCCACACTTGCTCCCTAGGGAGGACAGTTCAGCCCATCTTTGGGAACACCCTAGAAGCAGGTGTCTATGTGATCAGTGTGTGGAAGTCAGAGACACAGCTGAACAAAATCTTAAAGCTCTCCTGGTGGCAACACCATCTCACATGGAAGGGGGCAAGCCAAGGTCATACCACAACTAAGCCAGATGCCAGAGCTCCTCACCTGCCAACCCTCTACCAGGGCCAAGCCTACACGGGTATTACAGAGACATCAGGAGCTGATGCCCCACCAGAAGCCAACTGGATACCTCTCAGGGCACCTGACTGCCACTGTTGTTCTTCAACAGTGGGGAGGAAAAGAGTACTTAGTTCCCAAGGAATGCAATACTGCCCACGCAAAGTAGACAGCTCAGAGGTGAGGCTGTCAGATCCGAACAAACACAAGGCTTCCTATATAAGGAGCAGCCAAGCAGCAGGCACCACATCCCCAGGCATTCCAGGTAGGCTCTCTCTGCTGTGTGTTTGTATATGTGTGTATGCGTATGCATAACTGTGTGTGTTCACAGGGGTCTAAATTACTCACTACTAGCCATTCACTTACTTTCTTACAAGAGAGCCTTGCTTCACTCAGCAGTCCTACCCTTCCTTCAAGAAGTTTGCTAGGTTCCAACCTGAGCAAACTCTAAGACATGGAGATGAGGTATGCTACCAGAAGACCTTCTCTCCCCAGGGCCATCTGTCACCACCATCAAGGCCATGCTGTCTTCAGGGACCATCTGCAGTCTGCTACTCCTGAGCGTGCTCTGGATGGATGTGGCCATGACAGGCTCCAGCTTCCTAAGCCCAGAGCATCAGAAAGCCCAGGTAAGTCCATCTCCACAAGCCCCACATCCATCCTGACCTGGGGTCTGTTCCAGCCCCATGACCAGCAGCAGTGGCTCCATCTTTCTGGGCTTCAAGCCTTCTCACAGCATAAAGGAAGCCTCTGGATGTGACCCAATTCTGCTTTTGGAATAATACGCAGATTTGAGACCCTAAAGAGAAAACCTCATCCAAGCATGGTAGTGCACACTGTAATCCCAACACTGGTAGATGAAGGCAGATGAGCCTCAAATTCAAGCCCAACCTGGGCCACATAGTGAGACTCTATCTCAAAAAAACTAAAACTAATTTTAAATTTTAAGAAAAATAAGCCAGTTGTGGTGGCGCATGCTGGTAGGATTTGCTGAAGGAGGCGGAGGCAGGAGGATCACGAGTTCCAGGCCAGCCTGGGCTACATATTTAGCCGGGCGGTGGTGGTGCACGCTTTTAATCCCAGCACTCTGGAGGCAGAGGCAGGCGGATCTTTGTGAGTTCGAGGCCAGCCTGGTCTGCAGAGCGAGATCCAGGAAAGGCACAAAGCTACACAGAGAAACCCTGTCTCGGGAAAAAAAAGAAAAAGAAAAAGTGACCCTCTTCTCTTTTCTAGCAGAGAAAGGAATCCAAGAAGCCACCAGCCAAACTGCAGCCACGATCTCTGGAAGGCTGGCTCCACCCAGAGGGCAGAGGACAGGCAGAAGGGACAGAGGAGGAACTGGAGATCAGGGTTGGTACCCAGGCACCATTATGTTCTTATAGCAGTAAAAGGAGGGTTTTTTTGGTTGGTTTTTTTTTTTTTTTTTTGGGGGGGGGGGGGCGTGGAATGTAAGCTAAATGCAGGGCTTTTCAAGCTACTCAAGAATTGGAGTCCAGCAACGACAGCTCTAAAAAGGGTTCAGGGTCTCTGGCCCAAGAGCAAAATGTCCATAGGTTAACTGTGCTGCAAGGGTAGCGAGGGAAGAGCCACGAGCAGCAAAGATGTCAGCAGACTCCGGGAGGTGGGGTGTCACAAAGAGCCAGGAAGCACAAACAGAGAGACAGAGACAGAAAAAAGCCTTTGTCTATCCCAGGGGCCTCTCAGGCCTGCCCTGGTTATGGAGAGGTGAGTGGCCTGCTCACACCTGTGGCCAAATGAGTCAGTTTTGCTCTGAAAAATTTTGCACAGGGTGAGGAAAAACCACAAACAGCTCAAGGATTGGGAGAGGGGAATAAAGGAACCCAGAGATGCCTCTCAGCAACTCACCTTAGGATTCCCCTGAGAACTGTAAATAGCATTTGGCAATGTCAGTCCCTATACTGTGTGTCTACATGCAACTTCCTCTTCAAACACGGCATGATTAACTGGGCAGCAGGGGCACAACCTAGGGCTTCACAAATGCTAGGCCTGTGCCCTGCCAAGGGTCCCATCCACAGCCTGTTCCACTGTTATCATGGACCATTTACTCTCTACAAAACCCTGTAAGATAAGCGAGGCTGGCATCCTTTGCTCAACTTTGTAGATAAGAAACACAAGTTGAAAGGTGAACTCACTTACCCAAGGCTATCAGGTCAGGGTTTCCTTCCTCCATCTTCCTCTCTGATCAAGGGCAAATGCCAATGCCAAGATCACCAAACTCCTGGTCTCTGACCCTCTCTGGAGTCTGAGTGTCTTCTCAAACCCTTGCTTCACAGGAAGTGTGACCCTTAAGCCTCCTCAAGGTTCCTTCACTAACATGGCATGGACACAGTCTTGAGACAACCAGGTCCACACTGGGCAGGTGACTACCCCAGCCACAAGAGCCCTGCACTTAGTTCTTATAGGGAAGAAATCTTAGCACAGGGCCAGGATTAACATTTCCTAGTTCCTATGATCCTCAACAGGAGCCAGACATCTGGCTACATAGCAAGTACTAGGCACAAACAGATGGAGAGGCCTGTAGCATGCTAGGCACAGAGTATGACAACTGCCTACCCTCCCATTTGGGGCTCCATCTCTCCGAAAAGGTTTTCTCCCCAAAATCAGATCTGTAGACAGAACACCAACTACCTCTACCACACTAAACAGATGGATCATGAATCAAGAAAAAAGAGGCTTTTCCAAGTTGTGTGAGAACCAAATGCTGCCACCTCTCACATGCCCCGACCATTCAGTCCTAGGGTGTCAGCTCCGGCAGGACCCCTAATGGACGTGTGGTTTTCTTCCTTGATGGTTAGGTGAGAAGAAAATTTAGCATTTGCTGAAGATAAGGCTAGAAGGGCCCCAGGTCCCTAAAAGTCACAGCACTCCCCATCTATGCTGCTACCTATTCATATTTCCTGAGGCTGAAACAAAGTAAGGAATGGGCTACCATCCACCTGGTGCCTAGCAGCCTGATAGAGCCTGTGCCCACGCCAAGCAAGGACTTGGGACTAAGCAGATTTCTGAGTCCTGCTTTCTAAATCCTTGGCTATCACCTCTATCTGTGACACAGGGAGGTCATCCAGACTCACTTCTGCCCTGAAGACAGGGAGAGTACCAGACCAGTTAGCACTCCCCTCTGGCTCTAAAATTACATTCACAGACCACTCAGATGGCCAATATAGCCAGGCCTCCCTGGGGAGAGGTGGTGTTTTGGGCAAGGCAGGCAGAATGAGGCCTCAGAACCTCCCAATCCTACTTCCTAGTTCAACGCTCCCTTCGACGTTGGTATCAAGCTGTCAGGAGCTCAGTACCAGCAGCATGGCCGGGCCCTGGGGAAGTTTCTTCAGGATATCCTCTGGGAAGAGGTCAAAGGTGAGTCAATCTGAAATGGAGCTTACTCTATTTTATGAGTGACATAAATTTTCTTCCCCAACCCACTCTCGAGCTTCAAATCTTTTTTTTTTTTTTTTTTTTTTTTTTGAGTTTCTAATCTTCCTCACTACCTGTGGGAAAGGGTGCTGAGCTGGTATGTGTGGGTAGCCCAGGAGGGCTGGAGCACCAGGTCCATCTTCAACAGCTGTGTTCTAGATACTAGTGTGTTAGCTAGCTGCTAGGTCCCATCTGAGGCTCAGATCTTTTAACTGTGAGGTAGGGCTGATATACCTATTGCCTGCATTTCAGATTATCTGGCTTTGAAATATCTTTACAGTGCAACGTCATGAAGGGAATCTGCCACAATGGTACTGAAAATGCTAGCAGACACATATCTTAAGCTTTGTTTTTGGTTTATTTTTTGTTTTTTTGAGACAGGGTTTCTCTTTGTAACAACCCTGGCTGTCCTGGAACTCTTTGTAGACGAGACTGGCCTGGAAAATACAGAGATCCTCCTGCCTTAGTCTCCCAAGTGCTGGGATTAAAGGTGTGCGCTAACACGCCCGGCTATACCTTATGTTTTTTGTGTAGTGATGGGATGAAATATAAGCACACTATCACTGAGCTGCATCTCTGGTTTTCAGTATCCCCTTACTTTGTGAAATAAATACGCAGCTTTTCCACGCCTGAGGAAAACAAAAATTTCAAGAACAAGCTACATTCTTTCTCTAAGCACTTCCTCACAAATATGGCAATCATACGTACCTCACCATACAGATGAGGAAAGCAAGATTTGGGGATATAAGGACACTTACCCAAGAGTACATAGTCCACACTCAAATACCATCTTCCAAGTCCAAGGCCAGTGATCCCCACCCCCATCCCTACACACTTGCTCCCAGCATACAGGATTAAGGAAAGCAAATTTGATGACACAAGCAAGATGGCGAACCTGAAGACTGACTTGACCTCTTGGTTTTTCAGAAGTACCAGCTGACAAGTGACTATTGACAGGACTGGTTCACTGTGATTTCCTCCTGAGCAAGAACTCACATCCAGCCTTAGCCTCCTCTGCAACTCCCCGCACTCTCCTACTGCCCTGAGAATAAATGCTCAAGCTGTGTGTCAAATGTTCAAAGTAATTTTTTTCATCGACATGGTAAAGTTCACATTTTACTTAAAAATTATTGAAACAATGAAATGAAAAAATGCTTTAAGTTTATGACCCATGAGAAAAGAAAAACAAAGCTAGCAAGGCAGGAGCATGCTTGAAACCCAAAGGAAACCTTACTCATTCCAGCAGTAAAACAGCAGGAGGCATGTAAGACAGAAGGTTCTAAAGGTGGGGGCTAGAGGCCACAGACACAGTTTATTTCATAGCAGAGCTTCCTGAGTAATTAAGAGCTACACTAGGAGTTTCCAAAGAGCCACCAATGGCTGCATTCATAAAGATGCCAGTTGACAGTATCAGAAGCAACACACTCAAGACCTTTCTGGGGTGATCAGAATGGGTGCTTGGCAATGGCTCTCGAACCATACCACACAGAGCCCTGCGTGATAACCACATTCTCCACTCTTCAACTCCTGGACAAATCTGGCAAAGTAAATGTCCCATGTGCTCAAGGCTGGCCACCACCTGATACCAGGTAGATGTCCCAAAATATTTCCCAAATTCCAGCTCACAGCTCATGAGCCTTGATCCCCAAGTCCTACCGCTGTATACCAGTTGAGACACCTTAGTGAAAATCTTTAGACCATGTCCCAAAGCCCAATGATATTAGAGAGACCTATAACTAAAGCAAGAGCTCAGAGATAAGTTCTCCAAATTCCTTGTGCAGCCCAGTGAGCACTTATGTTGCCCAGAGAACAATGTTGCCAAGGCAACATTGCTACAGCAGGAACCATGTACCTCCTCAAGGGAAGCCTTGGCCACCCAGAACCCAAGGCACGAGATGACCAGGGATTGGCACACTTAACAGGCACTGTGAAATCTAAACGCATCCCTGCCAAGGAGCTGTGATGCTCCTCGACATTACCATATGGGAACTCCTTACAAATGAATGCTCAGCCTCACTCCAGGCCTTCTCCAGAGAATCCTTTAACAAAGCCTCCAAGGAGTCGGGCATGGTGGTGCACACCTTTAACCCCAGCACTCAGGAGGCAGAGGCAGGCAGATCTCTTGAGTTTGAGGCCAGACTGGTTCCAGGACAGCCAGGGATGTTACACAGGGAAACCCTGTCTCGAAAAACCAAACAACAAAAACAAAAAAACAAAAAACAAAACCCAAGCTATGACTTGCTTAGAAGTCCCAGGATCCTGTTCAAACAACACAGCACACAGAGCCAGGTAGCTATGGGGTCCTTTGCAAAACTGGAAACAAGAAGATACACAGATGTCCACTGTGCTGCTCAGTTTTTTTCAACCTGACAAAGCTATTAATCATCTGGGAAGAAGGACCTCAACTGAGAAAATGCCTCCATCAGATTTCTTGTTAAGCAAGTCTGTGGGACATTTTCTTGGTTAATGATTAATGTGGGAAGGCTTAGCCCACCTCGAGCAGTGCCACCTCTAGGCAGGTGGTCCTGGGTTATAAGAAAGCAGGCTGAACAAGCAGGAAGAAACAAGCCAGTAAGCAGTATTCCTCCATGTCTCTGAGTTCCTGTCCTGCCTTCTCTCAGCGATTGACTGTAACCTGTGAGCTAAAAGAAAAGAAAAGAGGCCGGGCGGTGGTGGCACACGCCTTTAATCCCAGCACTCGGGAGGCAGAGCCAGGCGGATCTCTGTGAGTTCGAGGCCAGCTTGGGCTACCAAGTGAGTCCCAGGAAAGGCGCAAAGCTACACAGAGAAACCCTGTCTCGAAAAACCAAAAAAAAGAAAAAAGAAAAAAGAAAAGAAAAGAAACCTCCCCTCTCCCCTCAAGTTGCTTTTGGTCAAGGTGTTTTATCCTAGCAATAGAAAAACTAATGCATTCAGCTTCTCTCATTTTCCCTCCCATCTTTGCAGTGCTCACTGGTATCAATTAGGTGGAGCCCTAAGACATGCACCAGCACCAACGTCTTGCTGACCTTTCTACCAACAGCACCTGTCTCTAGACCTCAGAACAGCACAAGCAGTAAGATTTTTGTCACAAGTAACCACTGTAACATACTGGAGAGCAGAAATGAAGGAAAAGACTTAGCAAATGGAGGGAAAGAACTTGAGTGGAACAGTTGCTCACAAGATGCTTCCCTCCGCAAAAATGAATACTTACTTCTCTTTCTCCTGCCAGTGCCCTGCTGTCATTCCTTCAAGGAGCAGATGCTGAGCACACTCTGGCCACTCTACTTACCAGGTGGTTCAGTGTGGGTGCGGGGTGACTATGAATACCAGCTGTACAATCCACATCAAGACCCTGCACTTCCCTGGCTCCTCCTTGCCAAGGTCACTGCAAAACTTAACCCAGCATCTGGCACAAGGGTGCCTAGAGAACAGGCACACAGTTATCCTAACAGCTACTACTCCATGATCCTACTGTGTACATTCAAACAGATGAGTTTAATTTCTGTTCATTTTCATAGCAAGTCTACTTATGAGAGAATTCACAGAAATGAAGTAACTCTCCCAAAGTCACACAACACCTGAAGACTCATAATCAGAGCCTCACACATGAGGCATGTGGTTTTTCCATCTTAACTCTGCTCCATTGGCCCAATTGCCAAGGATCCAGGACTTCATAAGTGTTTTCAGTGCCGGGGTAAACCCAGGCAGGGCCTGTGTATGCTAAACAAGCACTCTACCAGGGAGCTATGCCCCTCCTTTTGTTTTTCACTGTCCTTGACAATTCATCAAGTGAACCTAATGTGGAAAGGACAATTTCAAGTTAACAACTGGCAGAAATACAATGTATCCAAGCACATGATTAGGGTACACAGTACCAAGAAAATACATCTTTCTAAACATGTTCCTGCAGCAGTTTTCTTTTTTTTTCTTTGTTCATGGTTGTTTTGTTTCCTTGCTAAGTCACCTATGGCTGGTGGCTTTGAACTGTCAACCCTCCAGCCTCTGCCTCCCAAATGCTGGGACCATGGTGCCTAGGGCCCTATGTCAATTTTCTCTTTTTGGGGAGGTGGGTTTTAAGACAGGGTTTCTCTGGGTAGCTCTGGCTGTCCTCGAACTCACTCTGTAGACCAGGCTGGCCTCGAACTCAGAGATCCGCCTGCCTCTGCCTCCTGAGTGCTGTGTCAGTTTTCTTGAGCCCACTCCTTCATGCATTACTTAATGATTCCACTAACTTAAGGGTCCCTGGAGTAGGGAACGAGGCATTTTCAAGAGGAAAAAAATCTCCTGTAAGAGAAAACTGTTTTACAATTAGCATAACAGCACACGTATCTATCTCACTTACTATATACTTAAACCTACATGCTCAAAAAGTCTTAACAAGCACCAAAGGAGAAGCCAAACATACACAATAGCATCCCCCTCCCTAAATCTGATGAACACTCAAACAGCAGAGACAAACAGCCAAAGGGACCAAGTGGAGCCAGCCAATACCAATTATCATCCCTGACAGTTTGTCTTGAAATATGCCAGTGGCCAGTTGCCCTTATAAAACAAAACGGAAGTGCTGAGATTAAATGGTCAAGTATCAAGCCCCCAAATCAATGCAAAATGATGGAAACACCAGAAGAGCCGCAGAAGAAAGGGACAACTACCAGAATCAGACAGGAAAGAAGATGAAGTCAGGGAACCTGCTACAAGTTTGTGATCAATAATCCATGACAATCACCTGACCATGTGTGCAGACACAGGGGGAAGGGAGCCTGCCTCTCTCACATATCACCTTTATTTCCAGCTTAAACAAAAGGGTAGGGCGCAGTTCCATGGTAGAGAACTTGCTTATTAGCCCAAGCAAGGAAGGATCTGGGTCAATCCCCGGCACCACAAACCCAGAAAAGCCCCACAAAAAAAAATACCTTACTTAATAGGGGCTGAAGATACAATTTAGTGGTTAAGTGCACTGGCTGCACTTCCACAGGACCTGGTTCAATTTCCAGCACCAACATGGCAGCTGAGTCCCAGGAGATCCAACACCCTCTTCTGGCCTTCATGGGCACCAGGCACACACGTGGTACACAAGGATACATGCAGGCAAAACACCCATACAGATAAAATAAAAAATCTTAAATACCATAAAATAAGATGACTTACTGCAAATAGACAGTTCCCCCCAGTTTACCTGGAGACAGAGTTCAGAGCCCAAAACCCACACTACAACTGACTCATCAACACCTCCATGTGTAACACTGCTTTCTTCTGCTGAACTATGTACTCCCCAAAGACTAAACAGCTATAGCACACCCAAGTCTGCAGGAAAGTGAAATAGATGTCTCATTCCAAGGCAGCTGACTTTTCAGACAGGACTGTGTTCTGACAGTCACTTGAATCTTACAGTAAGTTGACAATACCTCCAGACATTCCCACGTACATTGGTTAGTTTGTCAACTTGATACAAGCCAAGTTACCTGGGAAAAGGGAACCTCAATGGAGAAAATACTCCCATGAGATTGGCATGTAGGCAAGCCTATGGGTTACTTTCTTGAATCATGATCGATATGGGAGTGTCCAGCACATGGAGGGTGGTGCCACACCTGAGCAAGTGGTCCCAAGTTGTATAAGGAGACAAACTAAGAAAGTCATGGGAAGCCACTAAGCAGCGTTCTTCCATGGCCTCTGCTTCAGTTCCTGAGTTCCTGCCCTGACTCCCTTGATGATGGATCGTAATCTGCCAGGTGAAAGAAACTCTTTCCTCCCTAGGTTGTTTTTGGTCAGGGTTCTATCACACCAATAGAAAGCAATACATAGAACACCATGTCACCGCCAGGCAGTGGTGGCGCACACCTGTAATCCCAGCACTCGGGAGGCAGAGCCAGGTGAATCTCTGTGAGTTCGAGGCCAGTCTGGTCTAGAGTGAGATCCAGGACAGGCACCAAAACTACACAGAGAAACGGTGGGGGGGGAATCATGTTACCAAGCTGACTGGACTAGCCTCCTGCATCACTCAGCCAATCAAGAGACACAAGGTCAGCATAGGATGGGGAGGTGGATTAAGGACCCCTCCCTTTACGTTTAGAGAGAAGGCCAAAGCCAGGGAGAGACAAAAAGGCATCTGGGCAAGGCAGTTGCCTCCAATTTGGTGTAGTGGTCAACAGTAATGCCCTTAGGTGAGGCCAGTAGTGCCTTCAGAGATACCAAGGGCCTGCTACAGAGGAAATGGCTACAGAACAGCTTGTCTGAGTAACAAAGTAATGTGGCAGACTGAGCAGACCCCAAGTCTTCCAAACAGGAGGCCAAGTCCCCTGTTCTTCCCACAGTGACAAATGTGAAGCACAGACAAAACACAGCTGACCCAAGAGGGGTGGACAGAGATGAAAGCTATTTCCCAGACCTGATACTGAGTCCCAGGGTTAGGTGGAAAGTCCAGACAGGCAATAATCAACGCACCTATTTTACCTCACAAAGTTCAAGACCATTTTTCAAAGACAAAGCCACCTAGAAGAACCCTGTTAAGTGCTGGACTATACAACCTAATCCTTCGGGACCAAGAACAGGGTTCTCCTCCAGTAAAGCCTGGGTCAGTACCACCTCCAGGGTCTGTAGTGACCCCAACTTTACAAGGAACCACAAAGACCTCCCCAAGGAAGCTCCTTTCATGATGAAGCAGGGACCAGATTACACATCCACATGTGCTAAGACAAAGAAGTGACTTTATTCAGACTGCTGGGAAACCCAGGCCACTGGGCAGGGATCCAGACTGGCCAACTCATTGTACTCTGTGCCATAAATGTTTTTGCTCAATGATTACCCTGGAGCCATGTGGCCAGGAGGCAAAACTACCCCTCTCCCCAAATCCACTCCATAGTACCCACCCACCAACCAGCAGGTGAAGCCTTGTGATGAGGTTCCAAGAGTAACATCCCATCCTGGTTTGCTGAGTTTTGACAGGATCTCCAACACATTCTTCACCTTGGACACAAGCAGATGGAGGCCATCCTATACTATCAGGCCACTGGTCATCCTAGAGGGTTTAAAAAAGAAAAGGAGGTTCCAAGTTCAAGCTCAACAAACCAGGCTTAATACCAACCCTAAACTTACATTCTTTTTTTAAAAAATCACTATTATTGTGAATATACATAACTAGGGTGGCATGCTGCCACAGCAGGAGTGAAGGTTAGAAGACAACTCTATGGAGTTGGCTCTCTTTCCACCTTTATTCAGGTTCCAGGGATCAGACTCAGGTCACCAGGCTTGTACAGTAAGTGCCTTTACCCACTGAGCCATCTTACTGGCCTTTGATTTACTTTCTCTGCCAGGTGTGTCCAACCTTTAACACCATAATGTAACATGGTTATCTAGAAGGATCACATGTAAGAAGCAGGCAAGCTAGTTACAAAATATATAAATCTCAAAGTTTAAGTAAGCTTATAGACTTCCATTCAACTGTATTCCTAACTTTCCTTGGCTGCAGGCTACAGGCTGGACATGCCAGTTAGTAGTTTACACCAGAACAGCCCCCAAAAAACAGCCAAAGACTCTCATGGCTGACTGCTAAGAAACATGTGGCTCTTATGACCTTTGCCAGAAGATGTCTGCTCATGCTGCCTGCTCAAAGACTGTAGAGGCGACTGGTGTTCTCTCGGAGGACCGCCAGAGTACGGGAAAGTGACTCCTCTTTGACTCTGGCAATCTCTCGAACTGTGTGCAAGGCCAGGCCTGGATGGGCATACTGGCAAAGACTTCTCGGCACCTGGAAGACAGCAAGCATTCACATCATCGCTGTGCCTTCTGAACATATGTCACATAGAGTATCCCCCATCCCATCCCCAGCAAGGACCTCTTTGGGGCTGCCCTGTAGAGACCCCTTTACCTGCAGGTGCAGGAAGAGTCCTAGTCATGGGGGGCTCTGGGTGAGCGGGGTCCCACGCTTCCATGGACTACCCTCTACAGGGTAGGGCTTTGCACTGCCTGGAAGAGAGTGGTTACCCTTCAGCTTCTCAGCCCCCAGGACTTTTGGTTCTACAGAGTAACAACAGGGAGACACCTATACCGCACAGGGTGCCACCAGGAGGTCACTGGGACTTGGGCCCAGCCAGCCTCCCACCCACTCGCCTCAGTGCCTCAAGTCGGTCTGAAGACAGTCCTACCTGGCGAGGGAGGAAGTAGGGTGCATCTGTTTCCACAATGATCCTGTCCAACGGGATCTGTCTAAGGGCATCCCGGGCCTCCCAGGCGGAGGAGTAGGTCAGTACTGCTGTGAAGCCCACCGACATGTTAGGGAAGTACTTCAACAAAGGCTCAATGACTGAGTAGCTGCCAGTGAAGCAGTGCCTGTGGGAGAGTATGGTTCAGGGCTTGCTCCCAGGCCGCAGCAGCAGCCCCTAGCTGCCTCCAGGCCTGCAGAACCCATTAGTGGACCCTAGAAAAGAAAAGCTTGCACCCAAGCAGACTCCAGAGCAAGCCGAGAAGGAAGCCAGGACAAGTACAGCAGAACCAAGCTGGCATGAGGTTCAGATACTGAGCAACACCAGTCCCACCTCTACCCCACAACCTGGGCAGCCATCTGACACAACCACAGCCATGGCACAGGCTGGAGTAGTGTGGGAGAAGGAGACAGAAGAAATAAAGACCAGCCCTCCCAAGGTTACAACTACACATGGAAAAATCATGCCTGTGCTGTTAGATGCACTAAAAAAAAATGGCCAAATGAAAATCATGGGGAATGGGTCACAGGTGAAAAGGAAGAATTTTTTTCCCCCTGATTTCTTGAGACAGGGTCTCTCTACACAGAATTAACTATGTAGACCAGGCTGGCCTGGAACTCACAGAGATCCATCTGCCTCTGCTTTTCAAGTACTAAAAATAAGAATTTTCTGCTTAAATGTGATGGCAGTTCATGTTCTTGGGTAACGAATACTGTCAACTCATCTGGAACTCTGGGCTTCCTGCAGCCATTAGCTTTGGTCCAGCTGTCCCTTTAAAGACAGCCATTGTCAAAGCCCTGCAAACCCAACCACCATTCCTAACTGCACCTCCGCCACTGCTTTAGTAGACGGGGTGACAGCACAGTGGCTGAAAGCCCACTCCCTCTTGCCATCTGAAAAGACCTAGATTTGCTTCCAACCCCCCTAAGTTCTATTCATTCCTCTGCCCAGCAAAACTACTCACTCAGGCATCAACTCCTGACCTCTAGTCAGAGTAAAGGGCCCTACCTGAGCTCCCTCTATATCCATGTCCACCTCAGTCTCACACTCCACATACTGATGCCAGCAGTGGTCTTTGTCTAGCTTCGACAGCTCCTCCATGGCATCTCCATAGGGGATGCAGGAATGCAATGTAGGAATGCAAAGGAGTTTCCTAGACTAAGACTATGGTTGCCACTGAGGTAAAACACAACCAGAACCTTTAATGCTAACTGGGATAAATGGAGTTTTCAGTCAGGTATGATGGTGCATACCTATAATCCCAGCAGAGGGGAGACAAGAGGCAAGAGGATCAGGAATTCAAGGTAATCTTCTGCTATATATCTGAAGTCTGGCCTGGGCTAAAGTGAAACCCTATCACAAAACAAACAAAAAAAGCTTTCAAGTTCAAGTAAGGAAAAGAAGTATAAGAAGTACCTTTTCAGAAACCTTGGAAGGGTCTGTACACTGAGCTACTGTACCCTAAAGCAGCCTCTCCCACATTTGAGACCAGGAAGCCCCTTCTAGCTCATTTGTGATTAAAAGTATTGATTTAAACTGTTAAAAAGTCATGGCTGTATAAGGAAAGACTGGTCAAGTACCAGAAGTTTCATGTGATTCTACTTAATGTTTAATTCTTTTGAAAAGATGCTTAAAAACACATTAGGAAGCCAGGTGTGGTGGCACCTTGTAATCCCAGAACTCTAGAGGTTGAAGCAAGGGGATATCCACGAGTTTCAGGCTAACCTAGACTTTCAAGACCCTGTCTCAAAACTCCCAAATTTTTCTTAAATGTAATATGGCAGAAAAGGTAGAAATGATGTAAATAAAGTACTGATGTATGAAAATCTTAAAAAAAAAAAAAAATTTAAGTTACTTTAAAAATGCAACAAGGGGGGCTGGAGAGATGGCTCAGTGGTTAAGAGCACTGACTGCTCTTCCAGAGGTCCCGAGTTCAATTCCCAGCAACCACATGGTGGCTCACAACCATCTGTAATGAGATCTAGTGCCCTCCTCTGGCCTGCAAGGACACATGCAGACAGAACACTGTATAATAAATAAATAAATAAATCTTTAAAAAAAAAAAGCAACAAGGGTCCAGATTACAAAAGACCTCAAAAACCATCCTAACAGCATGATTGCTTCCTTGAGTTTCATCTGCAGTTAGTACAGGAGTGCCCAGGTGCCCACTGAAGCTGCAGCTCCTAACCTATGGATCTTGTAGTCAAAGGGCACAAATCTTTTCATGATGTCCAACAGATCTTCATCAGCTTCACGGCAGTGGATGACCAAGGGCTTCTTCAGAGACACAGCCAGCTGCAGCTGCCTCTCAAACACCTGAGAGAAAGCAAAGTGACAGCAGGATTAGTGGCCCTTCAGTCTGTTACCTCTGCAGCTGTCTCTCATTTTTTGCTTCTAAACTATACAACAGAATCGTAAACAAAGCTACCATCTACTGGTACTTCCTACACTGCCGAGTCGTCAACCAACTTCTAGGCCTGTCTCTATGCAAGAGTTGTACACTCACACACACCTCCAGCAAACTGCCTAGGTCTTAGGATTCACAATTCCTGAATGTCCTTCTAAGTTAAGTGCCTGTGGATCCACTTCATTCTGGAGAATTGGTAAAATCCATAGTTAATAACATAAGCAAACAAGTAGAGTTACATCTCTCTTTCCTCCACCATGGCCAGGTTTAGAATTAAACAGCACTAGAATTATTCAGCAAGTTGCCTTACCTGACATATGGCACTTCCATAAGCAATTATTTTAGCTGTGCAACACAGCTCACGTTTGCATCTTCAGTACCAGTAACAATACACTTTTGGTAATATCCACTTAGGAGTGACGTTTACAAGTCTAAAGCGTGTGCCAAATCATCTCAAAAGGGGGGCACAGTATCAATTCTGATATAGCTTTTAACTTTTTAAAAAAGTATTACATCTTTATTATTTATTTGGGGTGAGGGAAGTGAGAATCAACTCTTAGGAGTCCAGAAGGTAAAACTCAGGTCATCAGGCTTTATGACATTGCCTTACCCACTGAGCCATCTCATGGGCACCCTTAAGTGTTAAGCGCAGGATAATGACCAGACACAAATCAAATGATTTTTACATGGGTGTTGGAATCCAAACTCGGGTCCTCATGCTTGCACAGCAAATCTTCTTACCCACTCAGCTATCTCCTGACCCTTCTATTTTCTTTTGTTAAAACTGTTGCAAGGCAGTTTTTACATTGTTGCAGCACATCTGCTCAAGGCCCTAGAGTCTATCTCCTGCATGAGAAGGGTGGGACAGGTGTACCTACCTACACACAACACATATTTTCTTGAATCTCTGATAGGTAATTTTAAGACAAGCCACTATCCCTTGCAACTTACCAAGAGGCCTAACAATAAATATACAATAGTTTGACACACACATCCAAATTACAAAAACAAAAAAACAGTAAGAGAAAAAAACTCCCTAGCAAGCAGGGCTCAACAGAACAACAATAAAGAATGTACACCTATGCTATTCACCCTAGCATTCTCCCCCATCTACCTATGATCTGGTCCTCGGCTGACACACCATTTCCAGGGACTGCGGACTTAACCCGGCTCTCCCAGGGGAACCAAGCCTGTCTTGCATCCGTATTAACTCAATAATTAATTCCAGGCAAAAACAAATAGAGGCACAGATACCCAGGGTTCAATGAGGTGGGTGGGGACAGACTCCAGTCTTCTTGGCTTTTCATTCAAAGGATTATGATCCTCTTAATCATTGATCTGTGCAATGTATTCAGGAAATATCTAGGGTCTAATCCTTGGAAGTAGTTAAATCTGTGACCACATAGATAAAAACAAGACTTAAGGAGGACTGACTACTCAACCCATTTTTCCTCATTTTTCCCCTCTATTTTCTCAATCTTTTAGAAGTATGGAAGTATCAAGTAACAAAAATAAGCTTCATTCCCCCTCCCTCTGGCTACCCACCTCTTGTATGTACTGTGCATCAAACCCAGAACTCAAGCATGACCCATGCTAAGTGCTCAAGCATTTGCACTGTCAGGTATGACCACTCCCAATACTGCCAGACAGACATAATTCTTCCCTGGGTGGTTGTTCTCCTACAGTAAGTCTTTCAGCCGGTGCAAACAAGTTGCTTGCTGGTCACTATTCACTTTACCAGGCATCTAATTTAAGATTTATGTAAAAAAAAAAAAAAAAAAAAAAAAAAAAACCACAGTAGCCACTTCCCCTCTCTATCTTAGAGTCCTCCATGTTGACAGAAACATCTAAGATGGTAAGTGCTTCACATTCAGGTATGTGTTCTGCCCTTCTCCTTCCTGAGTCTCATCTCTCCTTCCTGAGTCTCATCTCACCAAAGCAAGTGACTGCTAGAACACTACCCAAGTTCAGCTTGAACAGAGTGACTCTGGGACTGTACATGTGATCTGAGCCCCTCATAATCTAACAAGGACTTAGGTACTGTCAAGTCCTTTTAGCAGAGTTCCTGGCAAGCATCCAGTGAACGGATCAGCTATACTGTGTGGCAATGCAAGGAGGAGCTCCCTGAACTGCTCCTCTTTCCCTGGCATACCTAACCTGTGCCACAGGGACTATCCTGCTTAGTTTTGTCAATCTGACACAAGCTAGAGTCATTTGGAAAGAGTAAACCTTGAGAAAATGCCCCCCACCATATTGGCCTGTGGGTTATTTCCGTGATTGATAGTTGATTTGAGGAGGCTCAGACCACTGTGGGTACCACTATCCCTAGGCTGGCAATCTAGGGGGTAGAAGAAAGGAGGATCAGCAAGCCAGTCTGCAGCATTCCTCCATGGCCTCTGCTTCAGTTCCTGCCTCCAGGCTTCTACTCTTGGCTTCTTTTTGGTCATCATATTTATCACAGCAATAGAAACCCTTAGTAAGACAGAGACCAATTGGAAAAGCAGAGCACTGTGTCTCACTATCCTAAGACTCTATTTTCCTCCATGTGTTCAGATGTAGTTACTTTATACACGCGTCACATGGCTAACACATTACCACCTCAAGCCAGAGGAAAGCCAGCAAGCCAAATTCCGCAATCAGGACCCCAACACACTAGCCCCAAGGCCTGCAGCCTATAGGACACACAGCATAAGGCCTCACAGGCCTCCTAGCTGTTCTAGGAGCTCAGCATACATGTTCCACCACAAACACCACCTGGGAACCAGGAAAGGATGAGTGGGAGGGCCTTTGCCTCCTATTCTCCATCAGAGATGTCCACTGGAAGGCTACAAGGATTCTTCCCCTGCCTAAATGCCAAGTTCAAATATACTGAGGGAAAAAAAATGTTATGATGGATAACAGTCATTATCTCAGACTGAATGAGATATAACTTTTTTGTATATTTTTGTACTTTTTAAAATATTCTGTAACAGGCATATTTCATCTTATAAAACCAAAACAAGCCAGTGTGGTAGTGTTATAATTTCAACACTAGAGAGGTAGACACAAGATCAAGAGTTAAAGGTCATCCCCAGCTACATAGCTAGTTCTAAGGCAGCCTGGTCTATAAGAATGAGTCTCAGGGCCGGGCGGTGGTGGCACACGCCTTTAATCCCAGCACTGGGAGGCAGAGCCAGGCGGATCTCTGTGAGTTCGAGGCCAGCCTGGGCTACCAAGTGAGTTCCAGAAAAGGCGCAAAGCTACACAGAGAAACCCTGTCTCGAAAAACCAAAAAAAAAAAAAAAAGAATGAGTCTCAGGACAGCCACAGCTACACAGAGAACCCTGTCTCCAAAAACAAAACGAAATGAAACAGAAGAAGAAGAAGAAGAGGAAGAAGAGGAGGAGGAGGAGGAGGAGGAAGAGGAGGAAGAAGAAGAAGAAGAAGAAGAAGAAGAAGAAGAAGAAGAAGAAGAAGAAGAAGAAGAAGTAGTAGTAGTAGTAGTAGTCAGATGTGGTGATACATGCCTTTAATCATTATCACTCGGGAAGTTGAGGCAAAAGACATCTGAGTTCCAGGCTGGCCTGGCATACATAGCAAATTCCAGGCTAGCTAGGATTACAAAAGGAGACAAACAAAATGCTAGTGGGTGTGTCTCTGGCAGAGCACATTCCCAGCATTTGCAAAGGTCTTGGATTTAATCCTCAACAATGCAAATTCCCAAACCAAACTAAACTAACAAAAACAAAACCCTACACTAAAAGATTTGTCAACTAGGCATGGTAACAAGGGTTTATACTCCCAGCACTGGGGAGGCTGAGGCAAAACGATTGTAATTTCAAGGCCAGTTTGACATGGTGGCAAATCCCACATTTAAAAAAAAAAAAAAAAAAAAAGGCCAGGCAGTGGTGACACACACTTTTAATCTCAGCACTTGGGAGGCAGAGGCAAGCGGATCTCTTGAGTTCCAGGCCACCCTGGTCTACAGAACGAAGACAGTCAGGGCTATGCAAAGAAACCTTGTCTCAAAAGAAAAAAAAGTTTTGAAAAACAGTTGAAGAATGGCATTCAAGGAGTTCTAAGTGCAGAATAGTCCTTACTGGTAGGTTCAGCCACTCAAGGAAATGTATGAGGAAAAGCAGACTAGAGAGGCAGTACCTGGTGCTGCTCAGGAACTGGTGTGGTGCACTTGTGAGAGTAGTCCAGGCCCATCTCTCCAAATGCCACAGCCTTGGGGTGCCGTAAGGCATGCAAAAGCTTTCTTTCTTGATTCTCATTATAGTAGCGTGCAAAATGAGGGTGACAGCCAAAGGCCCCCCAAACCAGATCTTCTTTCAGGAGTTCCTCCCATAGGCCATCAGTCAATGTCCTTGGATCACAGAAGTCAGAGATGCAGCCCTGAAACTCCTTAGGGAAGGAGCTGCTATAAATCTTTCTGAACTTTGAAAATGTCCCCTTGAAAGATAGCTTGGAGTAAAGCATGTCCAGGTGACAGTGGGTATCGATGAAACCCTCCTCTAGGTTCATCTCCCGGTGGCTCCTTGGCAAGGAGCTGGATGTATGTTCTCTGGTGTGGCGAGGTGGTGTCTCCTCTCGGAATGTCCTTTTCCCCTTCACCTCCTCCTTCTCCTCCTCTGTGTTTCTGGAGGATTGAAGTGAATGGGAATTCTGGGACCTGCCTTCCTGGGCAACGTCCAGGTCTTTGGAGATGCTCTGGGTGCTCACTGTGGACTTGGAGGAATGAACACTCGAAAGGTCCTGGCTGCTCTTCCCAGCCTGTGCTAAGTCATGGCTGCTGGATCCCCCCAATGGATAACCAGGAGTCTTCTGGCTGCTAGTCCAGTAGCTGGCATAGTCACACCATGGGCTACTATACAGATGAGGAGGGTACATAACATAGTCAGTGGGGAAGGAAGATGATTCCGGAACTGCTGAGTATTTCAGCAAGACAGGCTCCTCTTGGGAGAACCTCACAGTGGCCAGCTCATCCACATCTGACCAGTCACTCCCTGAAGAGGGATGCTCAATCACCACCTCTCTGTTTGTGTGCTGCAGAGAAGAAAAGCAACAAGTTAGCCCTCCTATGGGAAATGCCTCTCTCATCCAATGCTATGGTTCCAGAATGGTCTCTCCCCTCCAGAATTCACACTGACCTTAATCCCACTCTGAGGTTACACCAGAGGGTATAAACTTAACTACGTTTAGAAGCAAGGCTTTTGCAATGCAATTAGATTCAGATAAAGACATCAATGTGGAACCTGATATTTGAACACTGGGGGCTCAAGGTGAATTTCTCAGACCTTTTCTCAGACTCTCTTGAAGCTAGACGGTAACTGGGTTTCCAGGTGCATCTAAATAGGTATGAGAATATTCAACATGTACAATTTCTGAACCAAGTTCTTAAGAGAAAAAAGTGTATTTCTTTTTTTCTCATCTGCTTTCTATTGGCCAATGTAACAAAATCACCATCCCCACCTCAGGCTATAAGGTGGATACTATATTTAGCAAGGCACCAAGATCTCATCCTTACTAAGCCAAAATTCTGTTTTGTTTAAACCACTATCATACTGGTTTTTTTCTTTTTTTTTTTAAACATTTATTTATTATGTATACAGTGTTTTGCCTGCATGTCAGAAGAGGGCACCAGATCTTTTTATAGGTGGCTGTAAGCCACCATGAGGTTGCTGGGACTTGAACTCAGGACCTCTGGAAGAGCAGCCAGTGCTCTTAACCTCTGAGCCATCTCTCTATGCCCCATACTGGTCTTTTTCAATGAAAACAAAGCTATACCCTACCACATGTAATACAATTTTTGAAGAATTTCTTAAAAAGTCAATCAAAGTTTATTAATAACTGAAAGGAATGATGGAAGAGAGGCACTAATTTCCTGGAGTTCATGTTAAATCAAATGTTGCTTTTAATTACTATCCTCTGGGAGCTAAGAGTTAGGGTCAGGGATAAAACTCTTGCCTAGTATGCCTAGGGTCCTGAGTCTGAGCCTCAGCACGGTGGTGGACACAGTCAGGAGGGAGGATGACACCAAGAATAGTATCTAAAACTTCGATCAAACTAGAAAGACTAAATGCCAAATATACCTAATCAAGAGAATCCAAAACCCAGATGTCTGGTGTGTGCTCATTTACCTTTTGACTATCTGCATGAGAGTCAGAGTTATCAAAAAATTCTAGGGCTGGAGAAGGTTTGTCAATGACTGTCCTTTGGTCACCAAGCAGCTCCTCACTAGTCTTCTTCACAGTGACCACTCTTCTGTTACAGACGCTACTCCTGTCTAGCACAGACTCTTCCTTCTCCACTCTGACCTTTGTAGGTGACTCTTCCTTCTGAGGTACAGTGACTGTAACCTTTCCGGCTGGTCTTTCAACACTCTTAACCAGTTCTTCCCGGCTCTTGGCTGGTCCTTCCACACTCCTGGATGGTCCTTCAGTAGTCCTGGCTGGTCCTTCAATGCTCCTGGACAGTCCTTCAATGCTCCTGGACAGTCCTTCAATGCTCCTGGACGGTCCTTCTCTGCTCCTGGACGGTCCTTCCCTGCTCCTGGACGGTCCTTCCCTGCTCCTGGACGGTCCTTCCCTGCTCCTGGCTGGTCCTTCCACATTCCTGGTTGGTCCTTCCACATTCCTGGTTGGTCCTTCCCGGCTTGGATACTCTCCCAAGCTTGCCTTCCCCCGAGTGGTGGCAGCCTCTCCCTTCCTCTTGGGCATTGACTTCCCCAGGATGCCCTGGATGGCCTTCAAGTAGATCACTGTTGAGCCCTGGTCTCGAAGCCTGTCCTTCCTTTTCTGGAACTTGCTGGGTTCCTCCATAGCATCACTCTGACCCTCAGCTTCAGTTGCAAATTCAGAGTTCACAGAGTGACGAGTACTATCTTTAGAATTAACCTGGAATTTAAAAAGAAACTTTCAAAGGTTTGTTTTAAGAGCAATTTCCTATCAGCTAATGACAAGTCACTAGCGACTCCATCAGCCCAAGGGAAAGCGAATGTGACAAAAGTAAGATTCGCCCAGACAGTAGCTTCTCCCTATTGCACTGTGGAAAGCTAACATAGTAATGCTTTAGTCATTTATTTAAAATTCACTTCCAAAGTGCATCATGGCATCTTCTTACCAGTGGACAGGGAACGTAACAGTATAGTTGCACTACACTGAGAGATGAGAAGCAATGACACACTTCATAAGAGCTAAAATAACAATTCAATGTTTTCCCACTGGAACTAGCCCAGTCCACTACAAGAATCAGGAAACCTAAGACCCCAGCAAGGGGGAGGGCTGGTTCAAGGTACCCAAGTCCCCCCAGTCCTAAGTAAGTTCTGCCCCGATGGCCTAATCTTCCTTCAAATCTTGTAATAAATCTTTTCCCAAACTGTAACCCTGTTGTTAGGAGGATACTTTCCCAAAAATGACATTAAGAATGTACCGAGTCATTCTCCATCTCCTGAAACATAGGTAGTAATACCTCAGCCCCATTCTCTTCTTCTGTATCCACTCACTGCAAGAGTCCACAGGGGATAAGCTAGACTATTAGTTTATGTTAACACTCAGGTCCACTCTTAGCCCAGCATGATAGAAAAACTGGAGCCGCCAGGCGGTGGTGGAGCACGCCTTTAATCCCAGCACTCAGGAGGCAGAGCCAGGCAGATCTCTGTGAGTTCAAGGCCAACAATGGGCTACAGAGTGAGTTCCAGGAAAGGCGCAAAGCTACACAGAGAAACCCTGTCTCGGAAAAAGAAAAAAAAAAACAAACAAACAGTGAGTTCCAGAACAGCCAGGGCTACATAGTGAGACTCTATCTCAAAAAAGGAAAACTGGGGCTGGAGAGATGGCTCAGCGGTTAAGAACACTGGCTGTTCTTCCAGAGGCCCTGAGTTCAATTCCCAGCAACCACATGGTGGCTCACAACCATCTGTAATGAGATCTGGCGCCCTCTTCTGGCCTGCAAGGATATATACAGACATTACACTGTATATATAATAAATAAATCTTTAAAAAAAAAAAACTGGAGCCCTCCCAAAAGGAAAGGAATAGCAAACCTCCCCACCTGTAAAACATAACACACGTGACCCTAGAGCATTCTACAGCCACTGTAGCACGCATATTTATATTCAGTTCCTCTCAAAGTAAATATACTCACTCAGGCCAGAATTATAGTGGCACACACCTACAATCACAGCACTTGGCTAAGTTAGGAGGATCACTGTGAATCTGAGTCAGCCTGGGCTACATATTGAGTTCCAGGTAAGTCTGAGTTATATATTAAAACTTGGTGTCCAGGCGGCGGTGGCGCACACCTTTAATCCCAGCACTCGGGAGGCAGAGCCAGATAGATCTCTGTGAGTTCGAGGCCAGCCTGGTCTACAAAGTGAGTTCCAGGACAGGCTCCAAAGCTACAAAGAGAAACCCTGCCTCAACGTCCCCCTACCCAAAAAATAATTGGTATCCTAAAATAGAAATAAAAAACAGAACAAGTGAGATGGTTCACCAACATAAAGTTACTTCCCACTAAGCCTAATGATCTTAGTTCAATTCCCAGTACCCACATGGTGTAAGGAAAAAACTCAATTCCTATTAATTGCCCTTTGACTTCCCCATATGCCATACACATGCATACACACACAAAACAACTGCAATTTAAATAAGCTCAGAAAAGGAAGTCCACACTGCATAACCACCACATGCTCTGGTTGCATGACACAGAGAAATGAAGCTAGAAGTCCTCTCCCTGCTGGCTAGTTTTCATAATGCCAGAAGGGGATACTCATGCTGTTGGGAGAGATTGTCATCAACGGTCTTAATATTCTGTGGACCCTGAATGCTGCACATTCTTGATCTGTCAAACAAGATATGCCCACTAGTGTAACAGAGGCACTACTATTAAAAAAGAAAAGAAGATTATTGAGGCAGAAAGAAAGATCAACAGGCAAAAACACTTGCTGCCAAGGCTTACAACCTTAGTTCAATCCCCACAATCCATATGGTGGGAGAACCACTCCCAAAAGTTGTCTTCTGACCCCCATTCAAACACTGTGGCATGGACATACACATACAAATAAAACTAAAACTAAACAGGACTTAATAAGCACACTGCAGAGGGCAGCAAGCTGGGCAGTAACAAGAGGACTTTTCAGCTGGGTGGTGGTGGTGGTGGTGGCGGTGGTGGCGGTGGTGGCGGCGGCGGCGGCGGCACATGCCTTTAATCCCACCAGAGGCAGAAGCAGGCAGATCGCTGTGAGTTCAAGGCCAACCTGGTCTACAGATCAAGACAGCTAGGCTGTTACAAAAGAAGCCCTATCTTGAGGAGTTACAAAAAGATGTTAGCTGCCATGTGGGTGATGGGAATTGAACCTGTGTCCTCTGGAAGAACAGTCAGTGCTCTTAACCACTCAGCCATCTCTTCAAGCCCAATAAACATTGTTTTGTTATTTTTAAAAAGGAACAACTCTGGAAGAAGGGGGAAAAAAAGATGTCAGGCATGATGGTGGGCACATGCCTCTAATTCCAGCACTCAGGAAGTATAGACAGGAGGATCAGGAGTTCAAAGCCAAACTCAGCCGGAAAAACCCTCCCCCAAAAAACCAAAACAAAACCAGGCAATGGGGGTGCACGCCTTTAATCCCAGCACTCGGAAGGCAAAGGCAGGAGGATCTCTGTGAGTTCGAGGCCAGCCTGGACTACAGAGTGAGTTCCAGGAAAGGCGCAAAGCTACACAGAGAAACCTATCTCGAAAAACCAAAAAAAAAAAAAAAAAAAAAAAACCCAACAACTAAACGTCAACTTCAGACTTGAGAACAAAAGAATAAAGTGAGGTGGACATGAGGACTATTAGCCAGGAGCTGGGGAAACATCTCAGTGGCAGAGCATTTCGAGGTCCTAAGGCAATCTCAGCAGGGAATAGACAAAATAAAATGGTCAAACATCTTCCCTCTTGAACAATGCTGTTTCCTGACACTGAGCTCTGAGCTGAAAAGTGTGGGACACGAGAAGCCAAGTGTGCATCTGTGGAAGTGAAAGTAGGCAGAGCTGGTGAGATGGCCCTGGGAAAATGTTTTCATCAATGCTCCTCAGCTGTGCCAGCTCACACCTGAGACTCAAACAAGGTCACATATCTGCTAAGCAAAAGAGAGGCCTACACTTCCTGAGGTCTTGGAACCATCTCCCCAGCACTCTCACCACACAGTGCCTTAGAAACTAGCCCCATGACCTAAAAGAATGCTTGGCATACGAAGTACTGATTGTAACTATCAAAGGAGAACCCAGTGGCCTTCATGAAAGATAGAACCAGGCTAGGATTAGACTCAAGCAGATTAGAGGCCATACCCTCAATTAATCAGCAATCAGCAACATAACTTGAGACTGAAAATTCCTGTCCCTGACTCGGGGGTTCACTCTGTCAGTGACACTGAATGCAATCATCTAACACTGATACTGTCCAAAGCCCACGTGGATGGACTAGTAACGCAATTAAATTGTATGAGCAAAGGCTCATATTTACCTGACTTGCATCTGAACCATATTCAGTATGGTTCTGGCAAAGACAACTTTTCAATTCACCATTATTTGTGAACTTAAAGAAAAATGCCACTTGCCCTCCAGAGGTCAGGCTACAAGGTCTACATTGAGAAAACATAAGGCATGGGCTGGAGATGAAACTCAGCTGTTAGAGCATGTGATTAGAAAACAAACACTTGGGCTGGAGAGATGGCTCAACAATTATACATTGGCTGCTCTTCCAGAGGACCTGGGTTCAATTCCCAGCACCTACATGGTAGTTCACAACCATCTGTAACTCCAGTTCCAGTTGCTCCAACACCATCACACAGATATATCTGCAAACAAAACACCAATGCACATAAAATAAAAATAAATTTAAAAAAAAAAGAAAGAAAACACTTGGGGTTGGAGAGATGGCTCAGCAGTTATGAGCACTGGTTGGTCTTCCAGAGGACTCAGGTTCAATCAATTCCCAGCACTCACATGGCAGCTCACAACCGTCTGTACTCCAGTTCCAGGGGATCTGACACCCTTTCACACAGACACACATGCAGGCATGTGTTTACCAATGCATAGGAATAACAACAAATAAATTTTAATAAAAGAAAGAAGAGCTCCCCGAGTTGAACACCCAAGCTGCACTTATGAAACCACCAAGAAAGTCAAATGTAGTGACACAACCTGTTCCTCCAACACTCTGGAGACGGGAGGATTGGGAGTTCAAGGTCATCCTTGGCTACATATAGAGTTCAATCTCTAAATGAGCCCATCTTTAAAAAAAAAATCAGGATTCAGGCTTTAAACTCTCTTTCCTTACAGACTGTCTTCACTGCTTTGTCTAGAGGCAGACCATCTCCCCACAAATGAGACTTTCCCTACACACTCTTCTACATACACAATGCCAGCCCACTTTTTAAGACGACCAGAGCTCCAAAACCTACAATGTAATATCAGTAGAAGAGTAGAAGAACAGAGATCTTTGTTTTACAGTTACTTAAGAATCCCAAGCAGCTGGGTGATGTGCGCCACCTTTAATCCCAGCACTCGAGAGGCAGAGGCAGGTGGATCTCTGTGAGTTTGAGGCCAGCCTGGGCTACAGAGTGAGCTCCAGGAAAGGCACCAAAGCTACAGAAAAACCTGGGGGGGGGGGGGGGGGGGCTTTAATCCCAGGCAGAGGCAAGTGGATCTCTGTGTGTTCAAGGACAGCCTGTTACACAGAGAAACCCTGTCTCCACAAAAAAAAAAAAAAAAAAAAAAAAAAAAATTTCCCACACTCCTAAAACACTGCCTGACACAAAACAGGCCCTCAGTAAATCTACTCAAAACCTGAACTGGATCTACTCTTCGAAGCACTCCTCAGTCTGCTCCAAAAACTGAGAAACCCCACTTGTGTACTTCCACTGGGGAAACAGACTTGAGTAAACTTCCAAGGGTAACTACCAACAAACTAAAAAAACCACCCAAGCCTGGTGCAGTGGCATGTGCCTTTAAACCTGGAAGAGGCAGGCAGGTATCTGTGGGTTCCAGGACAGCTCGGTCTACATAAAGAGACCCGGTCTCAAAAAAAAAAAAAAAAAAAAACCTTGTAACCACCAAAGAGAACGTCAACATGCCGGAATCCACAACTTTGGTGAAAGGCCAAAAACTGGACTAAGGGTCCAATTCCTTAGCTGAGATTCATAGGTGTTCTAAGTACAAAGACACTTTTTAAATTTTACTTTTAACGAAGTGTATGTGTGTGGTATGCGCACATGTAGATGCCCATGGAGGTCAGAGGAACGGGATCCCTGGAAGCTGGAATTAGTGGTTGTGAGCCATCCGACCTGGGCTCAGAACTCGGGTCCTCTGCAAGACCAGGATGTGTCATCTCTCCAGCCCCAAAGGCAAATTCTTTAAACTGACCAAAATCTACAACCCTCTTCCACCTTCTACTGTGGTGATTCTCCAGTCCCACTGTTCATTTACAATCACCAGAAGCTGCAGTTTCCCTAAGCCCTCTTTAATCGCTCTCTGGGGGATGACAGGTCACAAGCACTATAAAGCTTTCCAGTAGTTCCAAATGCCACCAAGTTTGAAAACTCCCTCTACATCGAGCCCCCGCCCCCCCCCCCCGCGCCCCCATACACACCCAGGCCCTACACAAAAAGATCTAATTCGTAGTCTCCTCCCACCAAATTTCTCCTCCCCACCTCTCCAGCCACGTGCAAGAGACTTCACCATTTGCTAGATGTCGCCGCCACCTACCTTAACGCTACAAGCTTCCTTCCGAAGAGAAGCCATTTCTTCTAGGGAGGAGTGGGCGGGGTGCAGAGGTCGGGACCCCTTGGTCGTAAGGAACCTGCGAGGGCTCGCGATCAGGAAGCCAGGGGAGGCGGCCCCGCCCGCACCTGAGCCCGAGGAGAGGGAGGACGACGAGGAGGAAGAGGAGGTGCGGCGGCGGGCTGAGCTCCGGGCCGTGCGGGCCGCCACATCGTTGCCCCGCCGGCCTTTCAGACGCTGGGGGCTGCTGGCCCCTCGGGGACGCGACGCACAGCTGCGAGCTGGCCGGCTGGAGGGGGCCACATTGCGGGGCTCCCGGGGGCGGCTGCGCTTGCTGGGACACCCTTCCGACGTGCTGCCCCAGTGGTACTTGACCTTGCGCCGCTCCGACGCCATGGGCACCTGCCGGGGACAGAGGGGACGAGGATTGCAGCAGCAGCCTTCGCGGCTGCTCGCCTCACACCACCGGGAAGCCGCCAGAGCAGCGGCGGGGTCCGGCCCCACTGACCTTTCCCGTTCCTGTCGTCTGCCCATCCCAGTGCTGCGGGTTTCAGGGACGCCACAGCGCTCCGAGACGCGCCCACGGGCCGAGCGCCGAGCCCCACGACGCACTGCCGTGGTGCCGTGGGCCGAGCGCCACGATCAACAACACCGCGCCACTCCCGAGCCGCCAAGGAGCTTCCGGCGCGGCGCAGCGGTCCACCTTCCGAAGCCCCTCGCGGGGGTCCGAGCGCGCGCGCGGCAGCCGCCCTTTGGGCTGCTCGCGCCCGCAGGCCCCGGACGCCAAGGGCGGGCCGCGGGCGGGGTGGCCGCTCGGCTCCCGCCGCCCCGCCCCGCCCCGGGCCTGAGGGGAGCCACTGGCCTCCGGAGCCGCGCGCCGGAAGTCACCTCAGCCCGCCCAGCAGACCCGGCCCAGCGCCTCGCCGCGCCCTCACCCAAGGCCTCCGCCCCGCCGCCTACTCCGCAGCCTCGGCGTCGGCCCCGCTGAACCTGACCGGCGGCTGGCGTGCGGCGTGCGGCGTGCGGCGGGGGCGGAGCCTGCTCCGGGGACAGCGCTCATTGCCCCAACGGAAGAGGGGCGTTACTCCGCGCAAGACGGAGAGCGCGTATTGGACGGGAGTTCTAGGGCGTGTCCTTACGCCTCGCGAAGCCTTCTGGTTGGTTGGGAACGACGTGAGGGTGGGGCCTCTCACGTGGGGGAAGTCTCGCAGCTGAAAACTGCGCCGGCGCCTGGGTACCGGATTCCTGCGGGCTAGGCGTTGTCATCCTTTTTACAAAGCAGGAAACTGTGGTTCGGTGAAACCAAGCGACACACCCAGAAAGTGACGGAATTGGGGTTAGAAGGCACAAGACACACACATACGCGCGCGCGCCAAGAGGATTGCCAAATTCAAGGCCAGCTTAGACAACCTAAACACTGCCTACAAATAAAAAAAAAACTTAAACGGAGCAGGGAGGAGCATGAAGCATTGATGGTGGCTCACATCTGTAATTCCATTTGGGTTGCTGAGGCTGGGGAACTACTGGGAGTTGGAAGCCAGTTTGGGATATCTAATGAGTTCCGGGTCAACCTAGGCTAGGGAGTGAGACCACCTCTAGAAATAGTGCCAGCGCCGGGCAGTGGCGGTGTACGCCTTTAATCTCGGCTCTCAGCCCTCGGGAGGCAGAGCCAGGCGGACCTCTGTGAGTTCGAGGCCAGCCTGGTCTACAGAGCGAGTTCCAGGACAGGCAAGGCTACACTGAGAAATCGTCTCGGAAAAAGAAAAAAAAATGTAGTGACAACCTACAATCACATATCTAGGGAGGCAGAGTCCAGTGGATCCAGTTCAAGGCCCTGTCTCAAACCTCCCCCCACCACCTCCAGAAAAGGCAATGGTTGTGGCTCAATAGCAGATCACTTACAGGAGAAGAAAGATTTTGATCCCTATCACCGAACAAACCAGGTGTCATGCAAGCCTGTAATCCCAGAGTCCTAGAGGTGTGAGGGGAGGATCAGGAATTCCAGACCAGCCTGGAATACATAAGACACTCCACTCCCAACCAAAAAAAGTAAAGAAAAGCTAAGGGAGAAAGGGTTTGTCTTACTATTTAAGGTACAGTCCAACATTCCAGGACAGCTCACAGCTTTGGTGGCAGGAACTCAGCTGGCTTTCACTCTTTTTTTTTAATTATTCAATGCAGGACCCCAGCCCATGGAATAGTGCCTCCCATACGCAGAACGAGTCTTCTGTCCACAGTTAATCGTCTCTATAAACACCCTCATAGTCACAACCAGAAGCACATCTATCTCCTAGGTGATTGTAAACCCAAGTTGACAGTGAAGGCTAACCATCCCAGAAAGCCATCTCTATTTGTAACAATAAAAATGAAAGCAACTTTAATATCCACGGAAGGGTGTACAAATGCCTCATCCCCACTACAGTGGAGGCACTGATGATGGAATCCATCCTGAAGTGACAATGTCCTAAGTCTACTGTGTGGGTTAAAGCACTTGCCACACCATGAGGTCTTGAGTTCAAATACCAGGACCCACATAAAAGCTGGGTATGTGGCAAGGGTCTAGATAATTGAAGCACTCCTGCACAGAGATGGGCCAGCTAGCCTTGTGTAAGAAGCAGAAAAATAACAAACCTTGTGGAAGAAGGATTGACAGCTAAGTCATCCTCGAGCTCCACAAGCACATGGTAGTATGTACACCACATTCACACACATAAATATGCACACACACATTATACAAGCAAAAAATACAGAAAAGCAAGAGTCCTTGAGTCAAGCACATTCTGTAAACAAATTGCCCAGACACAAAAGCAGTTATAAGACATATTATAGATTACAAACATTTTATTTTACAAGAGGGTCATGATAATGGGAACTGTTTTAAATAGTGAATTAGAAATAGCTTTGTTTTACAAAAAGGTTGGCAACATGACTTTTCAAAAATACACTCACTGCATAAACATTTTCTACATGGCAGAAACGTGAACTTAATACCTTTCATTTGTTTTATAAAACAGGACAGATGCATTTTTCAAAGTGCTTCTATAGCCACTGCCCCTTTCCTCCCAAGAGCTGAGGCAGGGAGAACAGAGCAGGGAGACCTTACAAGGATACGGAGTTCCCACACACCGAGTGATTGACTTAACTAGCAGCAGAATCAAACATGAGACTAGTTCTCATGATTCTTCACCCAGCTATAAATAACACATAATCTTGGAGTCTCCATAAAAAAAAAAAAATTGGACATTGGTGTGAAGGGAGGATGAAGGTGCAGAGCAAGCCGTTCACAAACACCAGTGGCTTACAAAATTGTCAACAGAAGAAGCAGAATGCCTACGAAGTCCTTCGCCAAGTGCCTTGCTTTTGTAATCTTGAACTTGAGAGATGAGTCAAGAATTGCACTGAGACACCAGCTGGCAGTCTTTTAGGAAATGGAAGTTTGCAGAAAGCTGTCGACAAATATGACTGACAGGCGATAACTCTGGAAAACACCATGGGTGCGGCAGGATTGCTCTTGTCAGTTGTGGAGGAGTAAGAGCTGCTGGAGCAACAGCACCTATTGTGGATGAGCTCCCTGGAACCACAAAACCACCCAAATCCGTGGGTCGAATACCAGGCGTTTCCACTTCATGGTCCTCTAAGGAGTCTCAGAAAGGAAGAGCGTTTCCTGGAGTTTGGTGTCTGTGAAAGTTGAGGTCCCCTGCCCCCTCCCCCTACAACTCAACTCTGATTAACAGGTTTCCTTCTGTTCCAGGCTGGTATTTAGGTTGTATGCATCTTGACAGAACTTGGGCTGCCAAAGATGTCTTCCTTGACTGGACAGTTGTCTATCCAGTTGAGGATAAGGGTCCTCAGCTGGGCTCTGGTCATCAGGGTCCAAAAAGCTCAATGCTGTCCAGTTTCTCCTCTTTGTAGAGTAGGATGTTCTCCATCAGTTTCCTTTTGGCCTCATTGATCTCAATTTTCCATGAAGTCTCTGGAGCTGATGGTCAACAGAAAGCAGAAAAGGCACAGCTTCAACAAGTGCTACTATTCACATTCTTGGAGTCAGCCTTGATCATGTTCATGTCAAGTTTGTGAATCAGGCCCCAAATGCAAGCAGCATGCCATGGCTTCTGCCTTTGCAGGGAGGTCTGAACACACACCATACATACCCCAACACCCCCACCCCCACCACACACACCCGCCCTTGCCACAAGACTCTCCCACATCCCTCCACAGATAGGGGAGAAGTGTATAGTCAACAACACTGACAGCTGTTTCTAAATTCTCCATCTTCCCCAAAAAAGTACCTAGACTACCACTGAGTCATGTGTATATAAGGCATGGTGACCCTTCATTGAAAAGGCTTCAACTTTTATTTCACCAGGAAGCCTGGCATATTTGGATCCAAGTGCAAGTGATGGAAGGTATATTTAGAAGTGATTGACAAGGAAGAGGCAGGCAGGAGGGACCAACCAGGCCCTGCTGGTCCCAAGGAAGTGTTTTTAAGTGCAATGGGTACGAGCCATACACTGTGTTCTTGTAGACCACTCTAGCAGGGCATGGTGGCACATACCTGCAATCCCAAGATAAATAAATTGAGACAGGGTTTCACTAGATAGCCCAGGTGAAACTCTGTCTCTATTTAATATTTTTTATTGTGTGTGTGTGTGTGTGTGATGCCTATATAGCCATGTGCATGCATGACAAGGTATTTTTGTGGAGGTCAGAAGGCAACTTTGCAGGCCCATTCTCCTTCTACCATGTGATGAACTGGGATCATATTCAGGTGGTCAGGCTTTGAAGTGAGTGCTTTTACCTGCTGGCCATCTCACCAGCCCTGTGATCACAGCACTTGGAAGGTGCAGACCTGGGAATAGAAGGCCTGGCACTAAATCGAAGGCCATCAGAGGGTGCTCTGTCTTCTTGTTTCTTCTATGTACATCCTCAACAGAGAAATTGGCTTATGTTCTCATCTGTATTTTCAAGCACCCATCAGGCATTTCTGTGTGTGTGTGTGTGTGTACTACACAGACATACACAGAGACAGAACATCCATACACATAATATTTTAAATTTAAAAAATAAATATCACTCTCTCTGGATCCTGGAGGAAGGACTAGTAAGCCAGAGGCAAGAGTGGATCAAGGATGAGGATGCCACACAGCTGTCCTAGCAGACATGCAGTAGCTGTGACCAGTGTACATTATAGGGACAGAGATGTGAAAGATTCAAGAGGCAAGTGAGTAGACAGAAATAAACGGTCACTGGTGAACTGGGCTTCCTCTTTGTGTAACCACTGAGCTGTGAATGCCTGAATAACTAAGGAAAGCCACAAATTAGAAGACAAGATGGATGGCCTAAGTTAAGGTCACAAGAATGATCATGCACAGCACCTCACCCTTCCAAGCTTACCATCGTGGGGTGGCTGTGGGCCTGTGCAGGCCTCTAAGGAGGAGTCAGCCTCCAGTCCTCCACTGGTTGATGGCTGTGCTATTTCATTTTCCCTGGAGAGTGGAGAGGAAGCAACCCTTGTACACGACGCCACCATCACAGAAGAGGAGACACTGAGGCTGGAATTGTCAACATCATCTGTTTCCTCTGGGGTATTGGAAGACAGGCCTGTGCCCTCAGAAACCCTG